CTTAAATCTCTTACAAATTGCCTCATTTCCACTTTGCTTAATAATTAACACAATTAATAATTATCACGAAAACAATCACTCTTTGGTAAACTGAAGGAACTAAAATAAGTTTTGATGGCAGCTTTGTCCTCTAAATAAGATCTTGAAAGTACATTTTTAGCATTTGTTTTTGTATTATTTATTTTAATTCAGGGCAAACCCCCTGAGGAAACACTTAGAACAGGCAACACTTTGGCTAACTTAACCTACTGGGACAGATTTGAATTATTATACCGTTTTTATACAGGCACGTGTCGATTTGTTTTCATACGTTGTTGTTGTTGTAGCGGCTACAACAACCCCGTCCAGATCGGTTAATATCTCAGTTGTTGTCGTCGAGCTCAACTAACGGAAGCCCCAAGAAGCGTGCAGGCTCAATGGGGTCGACCGACCCGACAGAGCTAACGCCTTTGTTTTCATACGTTCGTTCATGTTAGTATATAGTTTAAGATAGGTATATTAGAAGGTTAATATATAAAATGGGAATGTAGAAAGTGAGCCTCTTACTATGTACGATTACCAATTTGGCATTCCTTGTAGGATACGAGGCCTACAAATAGCACGAGCTCATAGCCATAACATCTAAATTCGTAGTAAACCATTTTATAGCCACTCGTTCTAAGATTTTGGGACGCTTGTCGTTGTTATTGTTGTTGTTGTAGCGGCTACAACAACCCCGCCCAGATCGGTAGGTTCCTCAATCGTTGTCGTTAAGCTCTACTAGCGGTAGACCCAGGAAGCGTGCAACCTCGATGGGTCTGTCCATAAGGACAGAGGCGTTGGCAGGGTGGGGTTCAGTGGGCATGCGGAGAGATGCTGCAAGCCATGGGGTGTCTCTCCGCATGCCGGGCATTCATTTGGCGCATCTGCATTTATTCTGCTCTGGTATTAGTTCTAACCTGCTGCAGTAGCCAGAGCGAAGTTGGGCTATTGTGGTCAGAGTCTCTCGAGGCAGACGAAGCTCTGTCCCATCAATGTCTGGTGGTTGTGTGCCTAGGACGGCATTCATAGGTCGAGAGTGTATATAACTGGAGACTCTGTGAATGCCGATCAAGGCCTGTCGGTAAGGTTGTTCTATGAACCTCTGGACTTCGTCCGGCAGTTCATATAGATGCCTTCTGACGTGTCGTGGCGCGAGTTCTTCCGCAAGCAGATGTGTGTTCGGGTGCCCACGACGGTGACACCCTACTAGGAATTGCTTGCAGAGCATTGTGTTATGCTCCTCAATCGGGAGCATGTGAGCCTCGTCGTGCAGGTGATGTTGCGGCGACATCAGAAGGCATCCTGTCGCTGTCCTGAGTGCCGTGCTTTGGCAGGTCTGCAGCTTCATGCACTGCGAACTACTAGTTCCCGGCGACCACACAGGCGTTGCCAACAACGTTTTTTTGTCTTTGCCCCAGGTGCTGTCGGCTAGCGACTTGAGGAATTGGTTCGTCATCGACGTGAATACCCAGTTGCAGTCTGGCCTCCTTCGTCCAAGTGGTGAAAAGCGTTGCTGAGGATTTTGTAAGGGAGAGGTTAGGCTCCGTGTAGTGAAGAAGCTAGAAAGCTCGTCGAGATAACCGTTTACTTTCGAGCACAAATCATCAATTCCATTTCCAGACGCCATTATCGAACAATTGTCAGCATAAGAGACAATCGAGACTCCCTCTGGTGGTTGAAGGAGCTTAGAGATATAAAAGTTGAACAGTAGTGGGGAAAGAACACCACCCTGGGGAACCCCCTGTTTTATTTTCCTAGGTTTGATCGAATTGTCTCTAAAGATTAATGACGAGTGTCGACCACTCAGATATTTCGGCGTTTAGGTCCCTGTGAGAGAGAGGCCTCTATACCTTCTAGTAGCGTTGAGTGGCTGACGCAGGACCCAAATTTTTCAGCATCAGCATACAAATTCCGTGGGTTGTTGTTGTTGTAGCACGTTTTTTACAAGTTAAGATACCAACATGCAATTAGAAACTACGGATACCACTTTGATAAAATGGAAAATTTTCGATCTTGTTCCGATAAAAATAAATTTTTATTCTACCAATTGCGACTAAGCTAAACGATTTTCAGGTATCATGCTCAAAAAGCATTCCCGCAAGAGGTCACGGATTTTCAGATCGAATGTCTCAATAACCGTGGAAGATTTGGATGCTGAAACTCAAAATGGGCTTACTTAGGCGCATTTTGCTCATCTTAGGGTCGGGTCAAAGCCGTTTTCTTGCAGATTTGATATTTTGGGCTTTCTCGTTCCAGCAAACTGGTGATATGTATGCTCATACGCATGGATTAGGAATGTTGCTAATGTGGAGTTTTAGACATCCGTGGATTCAAATGCGGATGCGGATGTCTAAAAGCTAACATCTATGGAGGCGGATGTCAAGTATTTTTTAAGAAATAAATTAGGTAAAATAAAAATGAATTTTTAATAACCTTTATTTTATATAGTACTTGAATTTAAAAACTTGAGTATTATATTTTATAAAAAGTAATGTCGCTGCCGTTTTAGGCTCCAGCCTGTTTCTTTAAAGTTCGTAAATCAAACCCACACCATTGCTCGCTGGGGACATTTCCTGGTGGAGGCGATATCTGTGTACTGAAATATTCAGAAGGCTAAGTGGTTATTAAAACACGTCCGGCCTTCTAGCTATCAAATATCAAATGTCTTTTATTCCGCTAACTATTTATAAGATCGTGTCCTGAGAGGTCATGCCTTAAGACCCATAACTCTGCCACTCATGGTATAAACACGAATCGCCTTATGCCTAGTTTACAACAACTCAACATACAACATACTCAGAAATCTAATTAAGAATGTAGAAAAATTTATGAAACTTTCGTCGAAATTCGACTACATGGTAATTTACTACGTTTATACGTAAACTATTTGCAAATACCTAGCTCCCTGTTTATTCGATGGTGAAAAATTCTTTTTTAATATTGCCTGATTATAAAAATATATATATATATATATATAAATATAAAAATATATATAATATATGACCATCGAAAAAGAAAATAAACCTAATAATGGCGGCTTCTTGCGCTTATTTGCAAGTAGTACCACTAATCAATACTTATTTGCGTGATTTAGTTATTTGCAAATAAAAAAATTAACTCAGCGTTTATACGGCAAAGTTTACCATTTTGCAAATTGTTATTTGCAAATAATACGTGCGTATAAACGTAGTAATTGTTAGATAACAAGCTACATTTTTAATATAAAATAATAAACATTAAATAATCGAAAGGGGATTAGCCAAAGCATGCTAAAATGTCTCTTACCTATTTATATTTCCCACTGAATCTAAAGCCAATATTTTTCATATCAGTCATTGTTTGAGGTAATTAGTATTATTTTTTATGATTTCATTAAATTCATGTTAGAATCGTTTCATTAAAAAAAAACGTAGCAAATAACTTCAAAAACCTTTAAAAATTTAAGAAAATAATGATAGACTGCAATATAGCGAGGGTACTAGTTTGACAGAAAAAAACATAACCAAAGATCATAGAAAATAAGGATGCTGGATATGTTTATGGCTCCCTTATATTGAGTTATACATCCCGACTTTAATAAAATATTAGCGGGACAATTTCCTCAAAATCAGCACTATCCCGCCAAAATCGGTATCGAAGGTATATTATATACTCTTACAGTGCGAAACTTGACAATCACCCCTATTCTGCAAAACTTTTGCATTCGGATTTTTCTAGGAATCGTAGGAATGGTATGCTGCAATCCGAATCGTATCTTCGAACTTTCGAAATTCGTAACAATGGCATGCCTAAAAACGAACGAGTAAGCTTTTTTGCGTAATTTTGTACGAAAACAATTCTGTGTAGGAGGCGAGATAAAAGATGTAAATCGATGTGTGTTTGCAGGAAATATTAGTGGTGTTTATTTAAACAGATTAATTTGCCTTTCGCATATACGTATATTTTTATCCACTGCTTTATATAAACGAGCTAAAAAGAATCTTTGTTGCCCATTATCGCGAAACTTGTGTCCGGTTTAATTATTTTTACAATGATTTTCGGTTGTTGTGTCCAAACGCATAACCCGAATCCGAAAACTTTAACATACACGTGTAATCAAAGGATTAAACCTTTATTTAAAATATATGTTTCAAATTATTAATAAATTCGGTTTGCACTACTCACTTTTTTGCAAATTTCGATGTGGGTTCGGGGCAAAAATACTGTGATATGCACAAGAAATATTGTATACCCTTGACATGCACAAGCCCCTCTTCTCCGGCAACAGAAAGGAGAATTCTACTTAGTAAGACTTATAATCCCTAAGCGTGGCCGAAGGCAGAAGCAAGCGCAACAGGTGGTGGACCTAACAAAATGCATGTTTTCAATGGCTTGGAAGAAGCTGTTATTGTATTAACTGGATCCACTATCTATCTAACTGGATTGGGAACCAGTTCTGCAGGCATAGGAGTTCTGGCTTGTGGTTGAACAATGCAACCAGAAGCTGACATAGATGCGCCCATGGTTACCATGCCCGGCAGCTCCGCATACCTATGTGAGTCCATTGCCATAGCGCGCTCTTACTCCGCTGCTATAACTGGAAATACATCAGAATCCATAATTTTCCTCAAAATATTTAAAATTAATCAATTTTACTATAAACGAGCACATGATGAGTGTTTTTTTTAATTCCTTTCCACTTTGTTTTCCTTCATACAGCTGAGTTCGAAAAACAACTGATACCTGGCAATGCTGCACATTTTTCCGCAAGGGTTGCAGCATGTCGATTTTCGTTTTTCGTAACGTAGCTACGATCTTACATTACCTTCTTACATTTGTTTTGAATGACGCTTCGCCGTAGTACCTTGAGAACCTTGGTATATATGTACATATTTCTTGTGATAGAGGTGAGATTCAATGAGAGATCTTGTGAGAGATTGCAAAATCATCCCAAGTAAACTCGCTAAACAATGTGAATAACATACATATTTACAACTTACCGTGAAAAGATATCGGCTAACGAGCAGAGTTACAGCGTTATTATTTTCGGCAATGAGTAGTTCGGTTTCTTCCTTGTTTTTTATATATTTTCCATTTATTTGTAGTATTTGATCTCCTTGACGCAAGCGACCATCACGTCCAGCCACACTGTCAGGTTGAATACCACTGATGTATACCTCAGTGCACGCATCATTGTCATCAGAATTAGACAAGGCACCATTGTTAGCACAACCATTATAGCAAACAATTAGTCCCAAGCGTTCATTGCTGTCTGACTTTCTCAATGTTATTTCCTACAAAAAGTACGATAGTCGTTAAGTAAAATTAAGAAATTTAACCACAGCGCAACAGTACACTCACTTCGATATCGATTTCAGGTGCCAAACAATGTTCCAGTAAATTGTGCTCATGCTCAATATAATGCTCAGCTCTATCCTTCGAGTTGTCATAGATAAAATAATTATTATCAGTTTGAGTCGATTTACTATCTCGTGAAGCACTTTCTATCGTCGCTGTCGCTTCCGAAGTTTTTATGGCTACAACCAACTTTACTGTTGAGGTTAAATCTGCATCAAATTTCACTGATTCTCCTGTTTTCGGTTTAAGAGTTGTAGCAATTGCCATTCCAGCCATTTTAGCATTTACGTCTTTGCAGTCCTTTTCACTATAATCTGAATTGGCAGTAGTTTCGAGCGCACTACAGTTTGGAGTTATGCTTGATTTGCGCTGCATTTCTACTAGCAACGGTTCGCCAGCAGTAAGGAACATTTGAACCACTTTATCTTCCGGCATTTGACTTATATCGGTGCCATTAATCTAACAAGAATTATATATGATCTTTAAAATAACGATCATATTTATTTAGTACTTATTTACCTTAAAAACGAGGAAATTAATTTCAGCCATTGTACGTGCATGAAATAGCGCTCATGTATCTACCATTATTTTTCCTTATTTGACGTGAAGATTGTCCGTGTAACAACTGAAAAAGATGAGCAATACATGATATATTACTTTGTTATTTATTATGCGTTTTCCATGTTTTTTGACTTTGTGTTGTTGTCCTTAAATTTGTTAGGTAAGCCATACAATTTCCCTATGCGGCCAGGTAGCTGGATCATTTAATTCGTCTTCCGTATCTCGGCTTTTGTGTTCACTTAACTATCTATTGTGTGAAATGACGGGGAATGGCTATAATTGAGGGGCGGAAGGTAACGAGCGGGAAACCTAAAATCAACACATCCTTACGATTGGTTACGTTCCGCCCAGTGCATTATAAGCCAGACAATCAAAAGAAAGGATGCCAATAAATTTTTTTAAAAATCCTAACAGCATATCAAGAAAATCCCTAGTTGTCCCTAAGGAAATATAATTTTTCCCTACATATATTTTTCATACATCGAAATGAAACAAAAAATTGTGTGCCATTTGGTATGCTGCATATATTATATACATATATCTTTATAATTAAGTTTTCTTAAATGGCTTTCATTACAATTAAAACAAGTGCAACAAGTTTTGTAGAAAAGACCGTATTATGTGATTGAACTGAGATTATCGTGACTGATTATTTTCCTTTTTTGTACGAGCATCGGTTACAATAGAAAATATACGTTCTGCACCTGCATTAGCTTGAGGCAATACTGAACAATATTGTTTCATTATTGAGATTCCTCATATTTAATTAATATTATTTATCCAAAATCGATATCCATGTGCACAATAGCATTATTTTCATGTTCAAGGAAATGAAATTCAATAGACCTCCACTCAACCAACAAGTCATTTATATTATATTTTAATCTCTAACTATTTTTAAAACCTATCTCACGCCTGAAGAATTGAGGAACCCCCAGTCCAATTTTAGGAACAAGGAAGCACATATATTTGAAGAGGGTGTTGCCTCAGTATAACCAGTAAAAAACTGTGGTGAAGTCCTTTATGGGGATAAAGTTTCCAGAGGAGAAATTTTTGGTAGCACAAAATTTCTTAAACGCACGGTTGCTTTTCAACACTAATGAAATAAACTGTAGAATTTATTAGAATAGTTTCGTTTAGTGCATCGGGGTGAATTTACATTTCCAAGCAATTTGCTTATGTCAAAAGATAAAAAAAGATAAAAGTAATTTATTTCCCAAATGTATAAATTTGTTTGATGTAAATTTATTTATTTTAGGTACATAGCAAGGTGAAAGTCTCGTGAAAATTTGAGCACTTTATATTTCAAGAGCTTCATATTTGTACTGCACCCTAGATTAGCATTTTAATTGCATTGCAAAATATATCACATATATTGCTGCATAAATATGTATATCACACCGAATAAAAGAAAAAGTATACTTAAATTATAAAATAACTCAATTTTATTGCAAAACGTATACACATTTACGCTTTTGTTTTTCTTTAGCTTAATAATAATGCTCTGAGTGATGCATTTTCTGTTTACGAAAATCTTGGATGATGTTCTCTAAAATTAGCTCCGACCAACTTAAAGTGAAATACCTTCTTACTGCTCTTGTTGAATTAAAAAAAAGTGGTTCAACTCTAGAAGAATAAAATAGAATTATGTATGGAATAAAGAAAATAAATATTTATTTATTCCTATCCCGAATATTCTGTCGAAATCAAATGATGAGTACTCGAATGCCTACAACTTGTACTTTTAGCTAAGTGTTTAGCCAAGCTTCTCCAATTCTATAATTTATAATAGAAGTCATATCAATTTATAAAACATGTTTCACCATTTAAATTAATAAATCTAAATATCAGTATCATTCAGGCAATCGCCGCGTAAACACCAACGTTGACCGTC